GATATATTGTGTATGTATGTAAACATTTGAATCTACTCGAGATAGAGAGACTATACATGTTTTCCATTACTGATGAGCTGAAGTAAACGCTTCTATTTATAGATTTTATATTTTGAATAAATAATAAATTTTAATTTTTTTCTACCATCGTATAGTATACCTAGAAATAGCATTTTCCTGCAAAATTGTTTCAATGGAAGAAAGGATATAATTTTTTTATGGTCCATTCGTAAGTATCATTTCTTTTCCTTATATTCTTCTCTAAGCATTAGGATTGTATTCATTCTCTATTGGTTGTAATTACTTCACTATTGAACTTCGTATCTATTAACAAGATAAGCTATCAATTGTCTGATGCATTATAACACGAAAAAGAAATTATTTAATTGGACTCAGTTATCTTTTGAATATGACTAAGATTAAGATTCGATTTAAAAATAGCTTACTCGAAACGAATGAAAAAGTTTTTATTCATATCGACTAATAAAGAAACCTTCAAGGTATTGTGTAGATAACACATGCCTTTAGCCAATGGAAAGAGAAACAAAAACCTTTGAAAAAACTTGAATCTTTACCTTGTATACTCATCACTTTTTAATTACTTGTCATAGATAACAAATATTTGTCTTACATTGTGACATTAGCAAATAATGTCAAGTAGATGCATAGAATGAATAAGAAAGATGTATCCTTTGTGTTTTGTAACGGATGCATTAGACTAGTTGTTTTACAATATTAAATATGGATGGAATCTTATTTCTTAGCTTCTTAAAAGTAATTCGATATGAAAATTCAAAAATATTCGCATTGAAAAGCTTGGTGCACGTTTTTTGCAGGATCAAAACATGACATATGATGAAGTTGTTGTCCTTGAAAATGACCGTTGTTGAATAGATCTAGTACTGTCCTTGACAGGAGTAAAACAACTATATCATAATCGAAAGGAGAAAAAGAGAATTATTTTTCAATTTTGTTATGTCGAATCAACTCCTAATCTACGAACCAGAGGGTCGCTCATATCCTTCGTCTGTAATACAATGATGGCAAAATGCTTCGGAGTATCAGCGAAAAGCTTTCCAAAATTTCACTCGTACGATGACTTTCACTTCAATCATATAATAGCACAAATCAAAAGCCGAAAAAGTACCATGATACTTTTTACTTCATTTATGTCGTCCTTCTTCTCGATCATCAATTATGAACAACATGATCGAAGGGAATGTAAAAAAATTGAATAATGTATATGTTGTCTTTATGAATTAGTAGAATATCATTGTTTTCTTTAGCATAACTTTCTGCTGATACTTTACTTGATTTGCAGAGAAGTTTTTAGTAATGATGGAAAAACTACTAAATATACAACCGTATATGAAGAGAAATATATCTTCCTCTTCTTCTCTCATCTGATAAAAAACCAGAGTTAACTCGACAAAAGCAAACGCTTGACAACTCTCTCACTTCTCCAAACAATATATCACAGGATATAGCAAAAGCAAAATCTGAAATCTTGACATATTTGAAGTATTTTCCAAGCGAAAAGGAGAATAAAAGAGACTTTGACTTGTATAGATCTTGGGAAACATTGATCTGAGACATCAGATGATTGACAAGGGTTTTATTAGGGCACACTAAACTTGCTTTTCCGCAGCAGGAAACAAGAAAAAACATTTTCTATCCTTTTTGCAATTGTTTGCTTAGCAAGTTTTGATGATCATCAGCATAATCTGGTGAAAAATTTCAGAAAACACTGATACTCAACAGACCTTGAAGATGAAAAGACATAGATTCTGTCCAAATTTTTACGGTTCTTTTGAGCCTTTTGCTGACAAAAGTATTTCTTTTTGGTTATTATTGTTTTGGTAGCACAAACCAGTATGTTTCAGTTCAGAAGCGTACTCCGGAAGTGTTCAAAGGGCCCGGGCATTCCCATAGTTTTTCTCTGATTAGGCTTTTAGTGAATAATAGCTAGACTCACGACAGCTTCTAGTTCTATGAATCGATTCTTTTTTGAGAACTGGATCCAGTGAACAATTTGATTTTTTTTTGAGAATCGAGATCTTTTATTCTAGCATTGAGCTTCCATTAACTTCATTCCAGCACATTTGTGCAGTTCAGAAGCATGGTATAGAATAGAGCAATCACAGATCTAATGGGCGGCTTAAAATGATATGTCTAGTGGCACCAGTTCGTTTTGAATGTACTGATGGCATAGATCAATTTCTAACAAAAGAACTGCTGAAACAGTTCTAAAGATCGGAACTGATATGCAACTGTCGTAGAGTCCAATAATGATCTTCAACCTGCCGAAAAGAAACGAATATCATTTGAAAACGATGTAGATAATGATATGAGGAGTTTATCGCAATTTGAAAAAGACTTCCATTCTTACTAGAAGGTCAGTTAAATCATTTCAGTAAAACTTACATTTATCTGACTAGAATACAATGATGGTTTTAAGAGGAATATTAACAGTAAATGTATTTTTTCAAAAATTCAAGCTGTGAATAACTATTCGGTATGGTTTTTTCTGATTTATAAGTTTTTACTCAATATTTATAGTACTGTAAGTGAAGAAAAAAATTCGTTTGGATGACATATCATTGATAATTTCTTTTGTAAGCTATATATAGCATCGTAATAGTGATATATGTAATTTCATTTAATATCTTTTTAGATGAATAAACGATAATAGAGCCTCTTTTTATTTGTAATACGCGATTGGTAAGTTTCGACTTGCGAAGATCAAGTTCATCAACAATAGAAAACGTAACATTTTCTGTTTCCATTAAGAAATCAGCTTGTTTTTTGGTTATCTGCTCGAATATCTATGGTTATTATCAGGTGAAGATGATTTAAGTCTTTTACTGAAACTTTCTCACTATGCATTTTGATATATGTTTATGAAAAAAGAGCAAGAGAATCAATTGTAATATCAAAATGAGTTATAAAATGGTATAACATATTCGTTTCTACGATGATTACAGTTTTCGCAGAATCACGAATGACTTGGTGTGAAGAAATGCAGCAACGATTTGATCATTTTTAAATATGTCAAACAAATGCTTTTATAAACAATAATAACAACAATAAAAATGCAAGTAAATATTAAAAAAACAGTGTATACTGTTAGTAGTATCAAAACAAACCTAATTTTTAAATTATAGCTGAAAGTATTACATTTTCTATACTGTTGATGAAGGATGGTTTTTATGAGTTACAATTGAATAGTTTCCTATTTCAAATAGAAAGGAAAAGGTTTTAATTAAGCTTGATCATCAGTAACGGAGTTATTTGTATATCTTACCTAGTCATGACTTTTGGGACATTTTGTATATATATAACCGAGTTCAATATTTTCACAGAAATTAAAAATAAAATCTAATATAATGATATTATATATACTTGAAAGTAGAGTAACAAAATAAAAGAATCATTTTATTATTAGATATATTCAAGATAAAAAAATAAATATTGTATGATTTTATTTAATATCAAGTAATTTAAAATATTTATTTATTTAAAATTTAAATAAAAATTAATTTCAGGTAATTCTTTCTTCTTTATTCAATTTGAGATAAACTGAATTTATCGAAATTATTTTATTAAAATAATTCTGAAATAAAATAAACATTATACGGTTGTTTTAATTATTTATACATAAAATCAAATTTCTTTAGTGTATTCTTTATAGGTGATTTTCAAGAAAATAAAAATATTTTCATTGTATTCAAGACAATGTTTTACTTGTTTTAAATTAAAGTACAATAAAATTAATATTTCAATTGTAATCTTTAAGACATTTACTTTTATTTATCCGACTGTTGATTTTCGTAGTTTATGAGGAAATATTTTGAGTTTACTATATTATTCGATTTGAAGGAAAATAAATTTTGTTGCGCAGGTTCTTGGAAAAAAAGTTTAGCTGTAGATGAGAAGATACCATATACAATGAGATGAGACTCAAAGAGATGGCAGATGTCGGTATATTGTGAAATGGAAAAAGAAAGTAGTTCAGAAATTCCTCATTTTTTTTGCTCTTTGCCACATCCCCGTCTATTATACACACTTCTTACATGCCATCCATTTTTGGATCCACGCAAGTAGCCTACTTATGGATGCCGAAGTTCAATATAAACAAGTAGTAGCAAGTAGATTACAGTTACCTTTTAAAGAGAAATAAAAAGGAAGATATATTTTGAGGAAGTTATTATCGTTCATGATATTTTCACATTAATCTTATCTTTGATATACAGAATCTTGTCTAGAAACATTTTCTTGTGGGTAGTAATGTAAACAGATGTAATTTTGACGTAGGTTGAGTTATTTTTAGTAGTTTTTGTCTATTTATATTGCTAGTTATCAGTATACTCCCGATCAATGTGATAGAGTCAATATTTATTGGAAAGAAAATCATTCTTAAATATTATTGTTCTCTGCACCTAATTACTTTTTTCAAACTGGAAATCTATGATTAGTGCACCCTACATTTCATGAGAAAGTATCTTTGTAAAGGCCACTTTTCTTATCGAGCCTGAGCACTATCGACAATTCCGTAATTATATTCTCAGAGAAATTCATAATGAAACTTTTTTACAATGTTCGGCATTGATGAAAAAAAAAAGATTTCAATTGATTTATGAATTTCAATACAAGAATGAGAAGAGTATCTGTTGTATAAAGAAGCACAATCCATGGAAACGAATGATCATCTTTTAAACATCCATAAACTATGAAATTTCTTGTCTAAAGATCCTCATTCGATGCGAGCATCTGTTTGATTTTATATGAATCATCACTAGCTATTTTATTTATCAAAGAGTTTTTCTTTTTGTTTTTGTCGGACGTATTGAATGTATGTACACTACATGAGATGTTTAAAATAATTAATAATAAGATAGAATTTATGTAAAAAGTTAAAATATAAATTGTTCGATTGAAAGATATGTTTTTGCACAATAAGTTAAAAAGAATTTTGTCAAGAAATCGTATGAATACTTTTTTTATACATAACTTGAATAATAATCATCATCGATAGTGTTGTGTAGTTCATCTGTTGACGTTGGCAACACTTGACTATTTTCATGTTCCATAAAAAAGACAATCGGTCGTTGATCAAATGGCATAGTCAGTGCCTGCTGTCTTGTTAACTCATATCGTTCAATAAATTCAAATGGTTTTGTATTCGGTTCGTTAGATATGTGTAACATATTTAATGCATCTGAAGCTATCTGGATTGTCATACACATTGAGCGTGTTTGAATTTTTGTGCGACGTTGTTGTCGCCTACGACGTTGACGCATTCGACGTCGTTGTTTTTTTGAAAATACCTTTTGTTGATTAGAAAGTGAACATAAAGGTGATGATGACAATTGTTTCGAACATTGCTGTAAAAATTTTCTACGTCTCGTCATTCATAGATTTTATTTTAGAATAATAAAAGAATTTGTACAAAAAAAATAAACAGATAATTATATACAGAAGATTCGTTGACAACCAAATATTTAAAAAAAAAGAGGTCGATTTATACTCAAAAATTTCGAAAGATGAAAACATACGATATGAATATCATTAGATCTAAAACGAGAATTTCGAATAAAATTTAAAGCGGTTTTTTTCTATTTATATCAGTTGCCATTTTATTTAACTCATCAATTCAATAGCCAGCTGTCTTCTTGTGTATTGCATACACTTGTCGTACCATATACTGAAATGAAAAGCGTTTAATTGTTTTTCTTTCTACATCGTTCTTTCATCTTATTTTAAAAGAGGCAAATACAAAAAAAAATAGGATATGCAATTTCAGTTGGTTATATTTTTTCTCTTAGTTTCTCATCAGTTTTTTAATATCACAACTGCTTTATTCAATTATGATCCGAATAATTCTTCAATAAACATTAATCTCTATCAATGTGATACTAACACGTCAATAATCGATAGTAGTAACATTAGCATTGATGCAATATTCAATTCATGTGATCTCAATTGTTGTACATCAAATAATTCAAATTCAACAAGTATCTTCAATACAATTATCATATTATATATATATATATATGAGATTATTTTCTTTCATTTTAGTATATTCGAAGAGATGTCAAGTGACTTTACAATCATCCATAGGTGTCTGTCATGGTCGTTTTTGTTATTCAGGTGAATGTAATCAGTTTCTGTCACTGAAAAAAATGACCTATTACCAAACGATAAGAAATAATACTACAAGAATTATGCATGAAATCCATTTATCTCTGTCTTCGCTTCCTTGGTCTTCATTTTTCAATTCAGCACGAATAAAATGGATTTTATGGAAAGATAACAGTGATTTATTTATGCGTAATAGCATTTTAATTCTCTTATTAATTATAAATATATCCTTAACGTCAATGGCATTCTTTGTTATTACCAAATCAATAAGAGATGCGAAAATGATTGCTGAAAAAAGATCACGTCGATATTTATTACTTTGAGTGAACTTACAATGAACTCTTTTTTCTTTTTGTAAATATCATTCACATTGTTGTATCTATATATAATGATGTTTTATTTGTTATTTCTTGAATATTTTTTTTTTCTGCAATATTTCGAAACTTTTTAGAATTGTTCTCATTTGTTATAGCCAACAGGGATTCATTGTAAGAATTTAAAACTCAATCTTAAATGAATATCACATGGTATAATATTATTTTCTATTATTGAATATTCTCGATCGTCTTCAACAATATTAACTTACATAATTTTCATTGATTTGATCACAATTGAAAAGTAAACGTATTTTTCTTAATTTTTTTTGAACTTACATTATCACGCAAGAACATGATGAATGCTTTGTTTTGATTATATTGAATAATTTTCCTAAGAAAAACCTATTCTATAGTAGCTTATTTGACGATAGTAACTTATAACTGATCTTATATAGAATAAAAGTTATGCAATGATATTTTTTTTTAAAACTTAATAACAATAATTCATAATCCAGAGCTGTGTAAATCCAAATTATATTTTTTCAATGACTATGACTTGAGTCGAACCCAAAAATTTGGTAACGTTGACTCGAGTCATTCATTCAAAAAGCAAAACTCATATCGGTGTCCTAATAAGATGTGTACTCGTGTCACAACAGCATCAGTTAAACATGTTTTTTTCTCAAGATCGCATCGTTCAAGCTTTACAGAAGCTAATCTTTGTATTTTAACATCTTTGAAATGTAACAAGGTATTCATTTATATTGTAATGCATCACTTTTGCTTGCAAACAACTTTACGTTTAGGTTTTTGTTTTACGAAAAAATGATGTTTTTTTACGATGTCGTAGAACTTTATAAAAGAGAAAATTGATTTTTGTTGTTCGTTTTTTTTTTCATATTGTGCATAAAAATTAGGAACAAGGTATTGTGTCTTGAAAAATTTTTGTTAATGTTGTTTATAAAAATAAACAGAAAATGAGCAAATGACAAAAATATCTTAACTCGACTAGGAATATAATTTGACTTACCCAACTCTTCAAAAATTTGATTATAGACATACAAAATTATGGATAATAATCAGTTGAAAAAATATCTTATTAACCAATAATTACTTGTTTCTTAGGCTATTGGATGTAAATATTCAAATAAATAATCGAATTCTAGTAATTAATAATACTAATGTCTCGATCTTTATTAAAATTTCAAAACGATGTTAACAAAAAAAAAACAAAAGTAATGCTTAACAATCTTGTTCTACACGTGTCAGACTGTCAACATTAGCACCCATATCTGAAAGAATCTTTTTCAATTCATTCACAACTGATGCTGACATTGTTTTCGTTCGTCTAAAAACATAAATAAACTAATAAAATTCACATTTTTTGAGTATATTTTTATACGTACGAAAGTAACCAAATAAATTCAAGTTTTGTCTCAAGAACTGGAATACTACGACAAGCATATACAAGACTATAATCAACGTAATTTGATTTAATTACATTATAGTCACCCTTTTGAACTACGAACATGAGTAACTATAGAAATAATCATTAAAAAAAAAAAGAAATTCTTACTTGGATTATCAAAAGTAACAATAAATGCACCAGGTTCTGAAGCATTTTTAACTTTAGCTGTACCTCGAATACTCGTATAATCACCAAGCCAATTTACTGCTTGATTCCAAACAGCTACTGTTCCATCAGGATTTGGTGTATATGTTGCATTGACACATCTGGATCCAATTTCAAAAATAATATCACTTCGATAAGCTTCATACCATAAACCAACATACTAAATGAAAATGAATTTTATCTATTATATTTATTAATAAATAAAAACTAAATTTACTTTAGTGACATCAAAGCCTTTTTGTGTGACAATTTTTGGACATTCTTTTGCTAATGATAGACTAGCAAATGAAAAAAGTGCGAAAACGACAGTTGAAAATAGCATGATGAATGATATTATTGTTATGTTGAATGTCTCTTATATTTATAGGGATTTTCATTCAAGGTCAATATTATATAAGCGTTGAAGGTGTATGAGGACTTTGCATGAAACATTATATAACCACTGATATATATGACATAGCGAAATAACGAAAAAAAAAGAGCCAACTAATCAAAGTCCATATCAGCAGATGGCTAAAGTCGCATGAAAACTATTAGTAAATCTTCTCAATTAGATTTTAAATTGTCTCTAGGGACTTTTCAGTGTTAAGAGTAATAACATAACAAGATTAATTTCAGTAGTGCTAAAAAAAACCAATACCAATATCATCGTTATTTTAGATTTTTTTATAATAACATCGCAAATGTATCTCGAAAGAAAGTTTTAGTTATATCGTAAATATATTTATCAATTGATATTTATCTTTGTTCGTTTTTGTACTCTTTACCATCGATGTTACGTCTTTATATCTGCGTCTACTTTATCAAAAACTATTAGAAAAAAAATCTAACAAAATTATTCAATCATGATCTTGTCTAAAATATTTCCTATCATCGAAATAAATATTTTATTTCATTTTATATCTACGTTTACCAACACATCATAACTCAATTAGTTTTGCCTCTTGATTGAATACAATGAAACTGTTTTGTTTATACGTTTAGCTATTAGCTTGAAACAATCAATTTTGTTTCTCATGGCAACAAACATGTTCATATTGATCATCCTTTTAAATTCAAACAGTTACTTTCGTTATGATTGATTATTACTCTGTCAATATTGATATGCATCGATATGACGCCTTTGTTTTTTTACAATTTGCTAGATGTTTTTTTCTTTCGTTTATGTAGAAAACAGAACTAAAGAAAAATCCTTAATAAAGTATAATATGTTTAATTTTATAGACGATATGGAATTCTGTCATAATAATAATTATATCCCCATGGTTGTAATGGTACTCCATGTCCATCGTAAAATACTTCAGCTAAAATTCTAATCCAATCAGTTAACCACCATATGAATGACGTAAGACTAAGAATAACACAAATGACTTCAGCTACCATAAGAAGACTAGGCTTTTTTTCCGATATACCAACAATAGTTATAGGCCATGCAATAATACATCCAAATGAAATAATTAATTTAAAAATACCAGCAATAATATATCTAGCTTCACCTCTTGATAAAACAAACCAATCAGTACCAAATATACCAGTAAAAAATGAAACAAGAAACGCCGTTAATTTAGTTCTTTGTTCATAATTACAAACTTCCATAAATCTCCATGTTATATATCCACGATAACATTGACATATGTAACCTTGACAAAAACCACGGCCACATTCAATATCTTGTGTACACCAACGTCCCCATCGACGTGGATATAAAACTTGACCAACATGAATTTTGTTTCTGTTAGGTACAAAATGACTATGTCCCAAAGCAATTAATAAAATGAAAATAACAATAAAAATATGAATTATATTATGCATGCTAATCTTAGTAAAATTGTAGCAAGAAATGGAACAAATTTGATTTACATTTATTATTTTTGCAAACGAAAAATTTTTTTCTTCTGTTTGATTTATATAACACTTTTTTTTCTTTCTCCTCAATATATTCTCCTATATTGACTGCTATTTACCTACAAAAATCAATTCTAAGTTTTATGCATTATATACAAAAAAATGTATATAAATATATATATATATATCTTGTAGATATTTTAAAGACAGGTAACATTTGAAGCAAATAATCGTTCAATGACTAAAGAATAGTAATAGAATTTGATGTGTATTCTCCTCTTTTCTATGTTCATTACAACAAGCCTGATGCATCTCTATGTTGACTTAAATGTCAAGTGTTCAAGTAAATGGCATCGTTGACGAATGACGCATGTATATTTATAGTAGTGAAGACCTTCGACTAGATTTACTTGATATATGAATGACATATGATCATTAAATGAGACAGTAAAATAGAATTCACTTACGATGAAGA